TTCAAGGCCATGGGTAGCAATCTTTATTTTCTTTTTCATTTTTCTTACATTTTATAATTTTCTACAATGAATATATGTGGTTTATCCAATAGAAATTTAGATTTTAAACATAATACAGGATTTAATTATCCATTTTAAACTGAAAATACAAATACAGGTGAAGAACAAAAAAAAGATATTTTGATTGTAATATAAAAAGAACAGGCTAAAAAGGTGTAAGGCAAAATTAGTAAGTTCAGAGTAGACATAGGTAGGCATCATTTAAGATGATTCTATAATAGATCATAAATTTAGATTCAATAAAAAAATTACCATATAGCTTAACTCCTTCAACCGCTTGTTGCCGCTAACCACCAACTCGAAAGGTGATCCCACCTAGAAAAAACATCTTAATTAATATGTACATAACAAGGACAAGAAAGTCCATTATGTTGTATTAATAATTATCAAGTGAGTTGTAAGCATTACCTTTATATTTTCATCTCTCGTTTTTAGCTGGATGTATGTCTTACTGGGAGAAGTAAACATACCATGCACTGCCATGCTACTCGTGCTATCAAGAAAATAGGCCTATAACAAAAGAAAAGGGAGCTATAAATTTTTATTTTTGGTAATACCTTGAGAAAAGATGCTACCTGTTGAACAATTACTGAAAGCCAAATTCACTTTCACTTTTTTTCATGCAGAAAAAATATTAATACATTCAGCAGACATTGGAACTTCATCATTTTATGGCCTGTACTATAAAAAAACTGATAGTTTTAAAACATGGGAAAGGGTCTTGACCATCATAACCTAAGAGGAAAAAAGCATAGTCCCGGCTTATTTCAGAAACAAAGGTATTTTTTCCGGAAAAACTATGAGAAGAGAGAATGAAATGGAAAAGAGATCCTTTCCTTCTCTCCCTTTCCTTCTCTCTAGGACACACAGCTCATACACAAGCAAAAACTTATATCACCCCACTTGATCCACCAATGTTCAAAGTAAAAATCAAAGAGGCCACATCTGAGGAGAACCCTGCTCTGCCAGAGCCCTGACTTGGGCAGGGCCGTGTAAGCAAAAGAAAGGTGGCAGAAACGGTTGGGGATTCTCAGACAAGCCACTCTGGGCAAGAGAGCTCAGCGAACGTACGTAAGTGTAAAAATATATATTCCTCTTTCATTTCAGCTCCTGCCAAAATAAAATTTCAAATGACTGAAAATCAACCTAGGGTTTGAGGAGCTTCTCCATCATATCTTCACATTGCTATATTTTACTATGCCCTTCAGAATGAACTGACAAGGAAACATTCAATCTAGCCCTGAGCCATGGTCATTAAATTACTTTTAACACTTTCCCCCACTTTTTTTTAAATAGAAAGATGTGTCCACTTCCTATGCACTCTGAGCTCCGACAAGTGGAGTGCCTACCACAAGATTACAATTGTAATGGTGTTGGTGCAGTGACATAACGATGGGAAGCAGATGGCACCTTCAACTGTAGCTCAGTGGAATCCTCCAGGATTGGAAATTCAACCTTAAAGATTCCATTCGGGGGAACAGTGTAATTCATGACCTGGACAGGTCCCATTTGCTGATTTCTACTGTTCCATCTGCTCCAGGGCTCGGTATGGTTTCTCTGTGTCACTGTCATGACAACACTATTTCTTCTTTCTTCAAGAGTCAGTGGATTACCGTCAGAACGGGTAACCTTCACCTAATTGTCAAAACAGGACGTTTTAAAAACAGGTAACAAGAGAAGCAAAGGATTTAAGTGCAAGTGAATCCAGTTTGCATCTGAACTATTCCCACGAAATTGAACTCTCAACCATTACTGGTGGCACTCTAACTCCAGACCCAGTGGCCTGTCTCTAAAGGCATCCGACATCGCCAACCACCTTCTCCTTAATATCACAGCTTCCTTTGCCTTCTACGGCTCCACACAACCTCCTTCGCTTCCTACTTCTCTTTCTGAATCTTTTCAGTGCTTATTTTGGTTCTTCTTCCCTCTCTCCAAATGTGGGAATTTGCCAAATTATCAGTCATCTGTTTTTCTCTCTTCCTCAAGGTCTCAGTACTCCTAAGGCTTAGTTTGCTCTTTGTGATTGTACCCTAAGTCCAAAATTCCCATCCTTATCTTGATCCAGAGCCCATACCCAATACCTCCAATTCCTAATTTTTATGTGGATATCTTAGTCTTCTCAAATTCACACATCTAAAATGGAGCAACCACCTTGCTTTTCCTATTTTTGCTAACGTCACGATTCTGTCAGACTTTACGTCTCTGAACTTTCCATCCCTCTCCCCACCTCCCAAATCCAATGAACACCAAATCCTATACTTCTCTCCTCCATCCTCTCCACTCCCACAGCCACCACCCCAAGGCTGCTGCCATCCTCCTGCACACAACCCTGATCACTCTTCCTCAAACACTGCTTTCACCACATCCCTCCCATGTTCCGAAGGCTCCTGGGCTTCTCACTGCCTAGAGCATGAAGATCAAACATATAAGTTAGACATTTAGGATCCCCTACAACTCCCCAAGCCTCTCCTGTTTTATCACCCCCATACACAAGCCCTCAGCTGCAACTGCACAGGCCCCAAAGATACCCTGAACTTGCTATTAGAGCTCTCCTGGTCTCGTCTCAGCTCACCTTGCTCCCCACCTCCCACTCCCATGCCTGAGCATTTAAAACCCTACTAATCTTTAAACAAATAGTTTAGAGCTTCCTCTTCCATAAAGCATCCCTTAATAATCACCATCCCCATCACAAAGCCAACTTTTCCTCCCTGAATTGCCATTGTTTCACTCTACTCATTTGGAAATTACCATTTGCAGCCTCATTTTTTTACTTAGCTATTCAAACTGTCTAAATAATTAAGATGACTAAAATCAAGAACTACTTAAAACTTCTATTGACCCATCAACAAGAAGCAACCCCTCCTTTCTTTAAATCAGGAATCAGCAAATTATGGCAAAAAGGTGGGCCAATCCAGTATTTTTATAAATAAAAGTTTATTGGAACATAGCCACTCTCATTTGTTGGCTGTGGCTACTTTCATGCTATAATGGCAGAATTGAGTAGCTGTGACAAAGACCACATGGCCCACAAAGCTGAAAATATTTACTTTCTAGCTCTTTGCACAAAAAGGTTGCCAACCCCTGCTTTAAATCCCTTTAGAAATTAATTCATGACACTAATCTTATTCCGACTTGAATTATGGCTGTCTATATGTTTTCTTGCCACCATCACAAAAACCGTGAACTCCAGGGTAGGAACTGAGTCCTTCTTGGCTCCGTGTAAGCCCTGCCAGCGCCATGCCTTGCACATTGTCAAAATTCACTCAATTAATAAAAGGTAATTCAACATTATCTCAAAAAGTTTAGTAGATTTGTTGATAGTTTTTTAATGCTACATCTTTGCTAAAACTAAAATTCGTCATTATAAAAATCAAATTTTTGACTACTATCTAATTCCTTCAATTAATTAATAAAAGCTTCAATGTAACAATCCACATCTAACTTAAATTGCTTGTTAAATGCATTTTCAAAAAAATATTTTTGTTGTTGGAAACTACTTTTTTAGAAAAATTAGACAAAGGTCATTTGGAAACAATTTTACATGTCCCACATATCTAAAGAGAAAAAGTAATCTACCGCCTTTTAACTTTAAGTTTTAGAAAAGCACTGAAAATAATATTTCCCATTCTAATTTCATTAAACTGAACTTACTGCTATGGACTAGAAATAAATATACCAACTTACAGTGGCTGTGAAGTTGAGAGATGGCTTCAATACAGTAGCATAATCAAAAAATTCAATGATGTAATCATGTTGCTTGAAAAACACATTGGAGCTTGCATTTCTTGAGATACCTATTTTGGAAATTGCACCATTTAGAATACAAAATTAATGTTTCGCCAACAGCCTCTATCCATCAAATCCATCTAAACTACTTGCCAAAGGGGTTTAAGATATCAGGTCACATAAACCTCATTCCCATATTGGCTTTGACACTAAGAGAACCAAACAGTCCTATTATGTCCTCTATGGACCCCTTCCCAGTATATTGCTGCCATCCTCCTGCAGTGACATGTACAACAGCAGATTAAGGCCACCCTAGTCTTTTGCTCTTTCAGGGACTGGTTAAAGCTATTGACATAATAATAGAAAAGTTCTAGCAATTAACCTTTACCTTCTTATTAAAAGAGAAAACTGTCTAGGAGCAAGTTAGATTCCAGAAGATGTTAAGTGATTAAAAAAAAAAAAAATAGAAGAAGATAGCCGACTGAAAACATAAACCTTTCCATGTAGTTTTCAGGCTGAAAAGAAAGAATAGAAATGGAAAAAAATTACAAATAACTATCACATGTGCTTGAAGTCCAGACTTTTCATAGAAAATGCTTCCCCTTTATTATGAAACATCCTTCGAGTTAGACCAGTTAATCGTCATGACAATTTCAACATTAAATAACATCTTTAGAAAGGCAGCAATGCTCCTAAATGAAAACACCAGTTATAATAAGAAAGGTGACAGAGCAGCCCCACATAAATAGCTTTCTTTACCGTTACTTCAAAGTCTACAAACCTGTAAGCGATTCTGTCACTGTGGCTAAAATTTCTACCGGCCCAGGGGAAGACATATCCATGTGTTCAGAAAGGTCATTGGAAAAATCCATTACGTTTTTCATCTCTTCATCATTAAAAGAGAAGTTCGCAGATCCATTTATCTGTTTTATTTAAAAGTTCAATTATATTTTTCACTTTAGTAATTCAAATTTTAGAAATAAAACCTAAACTAAGTTACAACAATATGATAGCTCTGATAACATTTTAATAACTAGAAATGGGTAAATTCTCACTTGGCCAATGCTGGAAAGCTCTTGATATTCTTACACTCAATTTTTTGTCAATTCAGTACAAAATCTTATTTTTAGAAAAAGTAAACATATTTTCCCCATTACGAGTTATAAAATATCTGCAAAAGTTACCTTAAATTTTTTTGTAATATTTTTCTTCACTCCCCAAAAGGATAAAGGTAAAAATGTAAGTGTTACATCTCCTTTCACTGGCTTCCCATATGTATACCTGAAAAATAATAAATAAAGGTTTTTTTACCTATCAACTTGATATCGCCAGAACACCATGAAAATATTACTTTCAATAGCATATACTAGCAATTCAACATAAAAGAATTGCATTAAAAACATACTCCTACTACAAATGTTTAAAACTAAACCCAGCAAGGAATGTCCTTAATAAATGATGATCATTGAAATTAAGTCTCCAAAATGGGAAGACTTTTAACTTTAGCACCTTAAAACAATTCATAATACATACTTTATCCAGCTTCTCTCTATCTGAGAGGCCCCAGAGAAAATCTGATCATAATTGAAAGTGACAGTTTCTTGTCCAAAGATTTCTAAAAGATTATGAAAATCTTTCATTCCTAGAAATCTGGACTGGCCCATTTACTGTGCACACAC